ACGCGGAAGATGAGGGAAAGATCGCGCGCGGCCCGTGGCCCATTTGTTGGAGCACTGCTCCGCCATTCGATCGGAGAAACCTCGGTAAATTACCGATCAGAGCATCTGGCCGCTTGAATTCTCCTCCAGACACCGTCTGAGTTCGGCCTAGCTGACAGGTTAGTGTCGAAATTAGTGCCACCGTCGGGACGTGAACCCAGGACCTCCTGATCAGAAACACTGCAGTGATATCAGTTGATGTGCTGAGCCACCACTCCCGATGACACTGCAGTGATAGTACTGGATTTGGTACGATATTTAGTAGCAATCATGGTGGAAAGACATGAGTGTGCTATTGTGCATCGTACCCGATTTCAGTGATGAGCTTCAGGCACCAGTTTACATCACAATAATAACGTGAATTTTAAATGCAGATAGATATCAAAATCACTTTATTACAATTTGTTGAAACAGATGTATAAAGCATTTCTTTTAAGTATTGCACTTTGTACACCTTAATCGTGTTGTTTTTTGTTGAACACCGTTGAAAATTGTCACTTTATGGCACTTTCAAAATATTTCTTAACACTCGTCGCTCTCCATGCCACAAGGCAGTCAGCGTCTGTTCTAGCTTTTCAAACGATGTGCTTGTGCTGTGGTCACGTGGTTCGTGGCGCAAACTGGCGCTGTGCAGAACAAGCAAAAATTGGTGCGCCGGAGTAACTCACCCATATCTTCCACCATGGTATCAATAAAATATAGAATCACTACGTCGATATCATCGAACTTCAATTATAGATACCCATCGAATTATTTGTCAATTACAGAACAATATTTCTATTGATATTCGATTGTAGAGATACTATAATTCCCACTGTATAGGCACAGTTTGTTTCGTTTTACTCAACTTAGGTTTTTGTTGTCTAAGTAACCGGAAAGAAGCTTGAATTTCTTCCCTCTACGACAGACCTGCAAACAAGCCGTATTAAGCGACACAAGCGGTCAAAAAAGCGCTTAAAATATTAACATGGGTGGACCGACAAACATCAAATTGACTTCATTGACCACATCAGACACATCTCGATAGTGTAGTTTCAAACTGGACACTATGATTATATCAGAACCCTGATCGACACAAAAATCTAACATCAAAAAAGGAATAATTTATTCTCGGAGTGTTAAAGGCTTTGCTATACTCTACGTCATCACTATACGTATTTTCTTCACTACTCCTCCTCGAACTCCTTCATGTAATCTCCCAAAACGTCCACTCCTTTACTTCACGACAACACGTTTTCCATTTTAACAGATGCCTCTGTACATTTGAGTCTCGTCCGCCAAAGTTCCCGATTTTTGTTTCAGAATCAACTTTCTCTATATCAAATTCCACAGAAACGGCGCAGTCGAACGTAATTAAAACGCTCTAAGAACATATTTTCCAATTGAAGAGATATTGAATTAGTTTGTTCGACTGAACTTTTAACAATAATGAAATTAGAACAGAAATTTTGCTGTTTCGTTTTTAAATGTTAAAAGTATTTGTTTTGTTCGCCGTTAATTGTACTTTTTCAATATTTTATGTAATGCTTAGGTGAATAAGGTTAGATAGAAGGCATTTCAAATTGTCAGATACAAGATCACGTGGAAAAAAATTACAGTACAAAAATAATACTTGGTTATTGGGTAGAAACTCAGTGTTAGCTTTATACAATTAATTACTTGTTTATAAATCATTATTAAATCCTGTTTGGACATACTGCATACACCTTTAGGCCATTAGTAGCAAATCTAAATAATCCAAAGATTTCAGGCTAAAGTGTTAAGAAACACTGCTAAATCTTTATTGTGATTTACAGTGATTTTACAATGCCAACAGATAATGAAGAAGTAAATAAATACAGTTACAAATAGCATGTTCAAAAAGTAGTAAGTCATGACAAATCTTGAACCATAAATATTTTAGATTACAGTTTAGAAATAAGACGTCTCAAAAAAATAATTTGGAATTAACTTACAGATATTAAAGTGTTTTTATGTGTATCTATTGCATTAATGGAGAGATACAAATGAATATTTTGTCCAACCACTGTTAATTATGTACGTCAACAAATTTGCTTATTGTTCACAAGTATGAACAGATTGTAAATAAAGTTTAATTTTAAAATATCAAAATCTACTCGTACAATACAATTAACTTAAAGCTGGAGAAAAGAGACCGAATGATACTGCGAAGGAAAAGTCGATGTCGTCAGGACACGACGTTCTAAAGTAACTCTCTAAACTAATTAATGAAGGAAGATACGGACGTTGCGTAGATTTGCACATTATTGCACATTCAAAATCTTCAGACAACAGGAAATGAAACGGTACAACGACTCAAGCAGCAATTCACGCACAAAGCTACATTGCTAATGATTACACAACATATCCACAATAGTTATTGAAGTAATTCGGCCGATACAGAGGCAGTAACTGACCATGTTAGGGTTTGAGAATCGAGGCGGTAGCTGAGGCTTGTAAACAATGAAATCCGTAATTTGTTATATTGGCCGCGAATCGTTAAATGATTTTTATAACACTCCTTTTTTATAAGACAAAAAACTATATAAACGACAAATACCTTTTCCTCTCTTTACAGACGATTAGTCCGTAATTTTTATCTACAACTCATCGGTTTCGATTGTTCTTAACGTGCCCCAGGTGTTAATAGAGCCTTTTCGTTCCCCCATTTGGTTCTGTTAAGTATTGCGAAAATAAAATAACAATACACTACTAATATGCGCTTTTGGTAATCAATATATCTCAAGAAAAGTCTAAAACGTGTAAGTGCAAAAACGAGATTGATTCAAAGAAGATGCCTCTCGTGTGTAGACATGCGAAGCAACGAGATGCCATGGGCACGAAGTAAAGTTGTAATGTCTAATAATTGATTCATGATATCACGCCTTTCAGGCAATGATCCCCTTTCGTAATCCGCAACAGAGGTAATTATTTAATTTTTATGGAGCTATCACATGAACAAAAAAGTGGAAAGAAACAGAAAGTTGAAAACATCTCTTCTGGAAGCTGCAACTGAAAATACGTAACCGCTGCTCTTCAACTACGATCTCCGGGTGCCTAAGCTCCTGTGAGAGATTTCTCAGAAATTACTTAAAATGGTTAAGAAGGGGTTAAATATTATTTTGGAAAGGATCCTGAGTGGATCTCAGGATCGCTCTGAATAAAATGAGGACGGTTAAAAATCTCTAGCTTCATTGGTGTTTAAATACGGATTCCTCAGATTAGCAAATGTGTGTCCTAATCAATACGCTGACGCGACTATCATTTACGATTGAAATAATTAACATTATATGGACAATTTACATCAGTAAAAAGATCTTGTGTAAGGTAAAAGGAGACGAGGAGGCGTGAATCTTTACGAAACTCAATATATCTGGGATGAAAATAATTTCGTACTAAATACACAGCCCCTTAGCGATCCGTAACTTTTGTTCGGATTATACTTATGTTCTTTTAACGGACATTGTCAGTGCAAAATGTCCGCCGATATATTGCATTTTACATTTGCTGATGCAAAACAAATAGACGCAGTTCACGGTGTTACTTCTTTTCTGACAACTTATATCACCAACATCAGGTTATTGCACGTTACGGTAATCCATTCTTTTCATTAAATGTATTCCCAAAAAAGCTTAACGCGAGTCATAATTTGTCAGAGTTCTGAATGCAAATCAGCTCAAGAGTCATATTAATTGTACGGCTTAAAGTGAAATTCCTTGGGCAAGCAGCCTCTGGAATGTTACATTTTCATTGTGGTCATACCCGGGTTAAAGGAAGGCACGTTAGAGATTCATTCTGATAACAATACTTTTTCCAAAGCCATTAAACTCGTTAGCTTGCAGGTCTCGTAATGTCATTTTTTCATAGAAACTTATTGATGTTGTGTTCAAGTACGAAAATATTCAAAATTTTCACCAATTCGCGCATTATCAACTTCCTTGTTCACATTTCACTATAGTGAGAACGAACTACTCGTTTCCCCCATGGACAGCTTAAGTAATAAGACTTACTGACATTATTCTAAACAAGAGTGCATCAACTCACATTGGCTCTGAGGTGTGGTATAAGAAATGGCGTTGAGGTTTCGTGGTGGTTGAATAGCGAGAATGTGCTTGGCAGTCAACGAGAACATGAAAAAACAAGAATTATAATAGGCGTGCCCAGATAGGGGAGGCGAGGTGGTCCCCTGAACATTTTGAAAGGGGCTAAATAATGGTCCCGCAGATATTTTCAATTCTGTACTTTCCCCTTCTTAAACTGACAATTAGGGATTTCATTTAATGTAGGTCGCATTAAAAGCAGTTGATGTCATTAGCAACTATTGTATTTTTTTTGTATAAGTAACAACTTCAGGAATAACGTCTTTTGGTCACTTTACTAAACTCCTTATTCGCCATTTCATTGTTCCCCCCAAAATTGAAGAGTGGTGGTGTTATGGTTGCAGGTGACCTTTGGATACCACGTTGTGGTTCAATTTTATGCAATGCTCTTCTATATTCAATCATAGTAAGCCCACAGGAGGAAACAAAGTTTTGAAACGTTGGCTATCTATGAGTTTAATTAAATGACCAGCACCCATTAAGTATTCCTAGAATTAATAGTGGGGTCCTGACAAAGAGAGAGGGAAAAGAGACCAAGAGGGAACAAGAGGGAGGAAGGGGAAAGAAAGGGAAAAGAGAAAGGAAAAGATAGGGACTGAAAAAGAAAGAGAGGAATAAAGAGAGAGGGAGGGAGCAGAGAGAGGGACAAAGAGAGTGAAACAAAGAGAGAGTGGGAGGGAGCTGAGAGAGGGACAGAGAAAAACAAAGCGAGAGAGAAACAATGAGAGAGAGACAGAAACAAAGAGAGAGGGAAGAAGCGACAGGGGCAAGAGAGGAAAAGGAGAGAGGGGGGAAGGGGGGAGAATGCAGGAAGACTGCTCTCTTCTGCTAGTCTCATTTTTACACGTAAATATAAAAAAGTCCAACGGACGAGGAGGCCCAGACATGTACTTGGCTGCCCTCATTGTTTTATGTTCCGCACGCCTATGACTTCTGCGTGCGGCCCATCTGTAGGTCCGCAGCCTCCCTTCGCCGCCCCCACGTGCCCTCCCCCTCCCCTCCGCGTCACCGCGTCGCGTCGCGTCGCCCTCCCGCGCGCGCGCGTGTATCGATCGCCCGCAGCGCGCCTGGCGGCGGGTCGGCGCACCAGGCGGCGTGGCTGCGGCGGCGGCGGGCGGGCGGCGCGGCTTGGCGCAGGCCCCCGTGCGAGTGCAGCGGCGGCGACGAGCGCGGACGGAGACGAGCGGAGCGGAGCGGTGCCGGAGCGGGAGCCGGCGCGGTGCGAGTGGGCGAGTGGGCGGTGTGTCCGGCGGCGGCAGCGGGCGGGCGCTCGGCCCGGCAGCCCAGCGCGACGCGCGGTTTCCGCGGAGGAGGAGGAGGGAGAGGAGGCGGAGGGGCCCGCCGGCGCTCGGTGCTGTGGAGGGCGGATTGCGGGGGCGGAGCGGCGGCGGCGGCGAGCGGAGATGACAGCGCGCCCAGCACGCCGGTGACAGCGCGGCCGGGACTCGCCGGGGGCGCACAGGTGAGCTCGGGAGCACGTGCGCGGTGCCGGAGGGAGTATGGACTCGATTTGTAAATGTCACGTTAGTAGCAACTAAACATGTTAGGGAGTATAGGAGTAGCTGTTATTTCATGGAGAGTCCTTACAGAAGTGAGGTTTACGGGGCCAGGTCAGTAGGAAATGAAAACCTTCCTCACCTCCCAACACTCATCGTTAGTGATGATGGTGTTTGTTGGTATGGTGTCTCACATCCCATGAGCTGTTCAAAAACATGTATCCGTTTGTTTCTCTCTTCTGGTGGTTGCAAAATAAGGTAATTTTTATGTATTTATTCCTTCTAAATATATTTTACCGTACCTGCTTCAGGGCAGAGTATTTTAGAGTTATCCAATACGTGTTTTGTGTTCTTGTATGATCAATTGGGTAGCTCTGAATTTGGAAATATGTTTTCCGAAACGTTGCCAAACAACCATGTAGTGATTCTTTTCTCCTACTGACCGAGCCCCGTAAAACTAACTTCAGTGTACATATTATTGTTAGCTTAGACCCTAGTTAAGGGCAAAGGTCTCCTGCGTTAGGGATTAAGAAGTTATTAGGTGCATAGCTGTAGTTAAGCTTAAAGAGGAGTAGGTGAAACGCAAGTTTGCAATTGCAAATCCAGAACGGATTGAGAATTGACAAACATATTGAATTGAATTTGTGGTTAGTACATTTTGCAAAAGCAATTACCGAGCGCTATAACCATAAAATGATCCAACAGTATTATGGGGGAGTGTCTTTAGAAACCTTATGTGCCATACCCTCCCCTGGCTTCATTCTTGACGTTTTACTTTTTTCAAACAGGAGCACATGCAACTGCCTGTGCATGAACACCATCACTAGTTGATGGGACAAAAGTTGTCGACTAGACAGTATAGAAGAATCCCTGCTTTGAAAAAATAGTCCTGTCCGAGATCGAATCAGACTCGAGATCAGGTTCCAGACGAAGATCGCGAATAAATTAATCTTACTCATACATGACCCGCTCCGTTTTATCCGGTTTACCCGTCCAGGCAAACGCGGTTTACTTTCTGCGCTTCCGATTAACCACTCCGGGAAAAAACGAGTGGCCACAGCGGTCGAAACGGGGACCAACCAAATCCAATGGCTCTCATTTTCTTCAAGAAGCAGATTTGTGACGGCTGTCTTTAAACGTTAACCCGTTTGTTGTATCCTTGCTGAACTTTAAGAGGCTCATTCCATTCGGGGTACGTGATAGATTTGAAATATCCATTTACTCTTCCGAGGAATCACGATCGCTTGTGACCGCTCACCCGCGGTAAAACTGTCACGAAGAAAGTCGATCTGCTGAGGAGTTTTTCGTGATGTGAATTTGTCTTTGTTTGCAGCCTAACCGTCTTTAAGTGTACCTGTACAGGGTACAGCTTTTCAACCCTGCGAAGGCAAAAGTTAAGCCCAAGACAATGTAAGACTGATCGGGGAATCCCAGGTCTGCCGATTCCTTGGAGGTGCTGTAAGAATGAGACGTGCTAACTCGGGCAGGTAAAAGTAGCATGTTTTGGAACGTTCTAAGGAAACTGCTCGTTCGCTACCATCATGTTTTGCTTAAAATTTCGGATACGTAAAACTACCATGATTGGGAACTTTCAAAGGAAAGTGTTTAATTCCTACTATCATCTTTTGCTTAAAAATACAGAGTTAATCTTTAAATTAGCACCAAAGAGCTGCTTTTAGTTCTGCTTTCTGCTTCTTTGTTTTCGCTCTATATTATTTGTGTAACATGATGGATATTCTTCGTGTCAACGAACACAGATGCCCAAGAACGTAGAAGTGCTTGCGACGTTCGCGCTTCTTGATGCGTTACGATTTTGACTTCACATTGATCTGCGGCATCGCTGAGTATGACGCGATCTCGTCTAGAGTCTGAAAAATAAATTTCATTTCTCTTACTGTTCTACATATTTTTCTTCTTCATCATTTTCATTCGCCATACGTTGACTGTGCTTCTTTGGGATCTTACTCGATAGACCAAATGAAATACGGATGAGATAGGAACAATTTGAAGACAATTATTTGCACGGAAGCTACAATTAATAGCTCGTAAATGGGCATGAATCCCACTCTTGAATATGCTTTTCGATTTGGAATTCTTTATTGTCCGGCTGAAAGCACGCTGATGAAAGCAGATTTAGAAACGATCAGTTTCGTTTTAAATCTCCGTGTCTGATTTGATGCAAGTCCTTGCTTTATTTTGTATTGAACCGCAGACCCATTTAGAGCGCTGATCGCTGTTCTAATCAGCGTTCAGTTTAACGTGCAGCGTTGTGCTTTAAAATAATGTGTTATAACTTGCCTTATCAGAAATAACTTGTTACAGAATGGAGTTGAGAACTATGTTCGTCAAAAACATAATCTAACAACATTTATTAGAGAGGAATCAGATAACGAAAATAATGCTGATATAAATATAAAGTTCGTTTCTCCATAGTAAACTGATCATCGATTTATAGGAGAATGTTAAAAGAATGCTGTGTTCTTAACGACAATAAATAAAAAAAATATTACTACTTTTATTTACATTTAATAACATTATTACAATCATGTTCATATAAATCACGTTCATCATGAACATTTCTCTTGAAAGTATTCTCACTCAGGACTTTTCGTTAACCGTCCACCTGTCCTGTATAATTCTTGATACTGCAGTGCAGGGCTTCATTTCTTTCGGAACGTGACGCAACGGCGTTGCGGTAGCTTGAGAACAAAATAGGGGAAAAAAGAAACAAAAAGAAGAGAGAAAACACGAGGAAACTTCGATTTTTAGTTCGTCCAACTTTTGTAAACAAAAAATTAATTAAATTTCATTTAAATGTATAATTACAAAACAATTTGATAAAGTAAAGCACTACAAAATATCATTATAAAATCTCTATTTTCTATTAACATTTCCTAAAAATAATTTATTTCCTAATAATAATTCCTATTAACATTCATTTAAGCCAGTGCTACCACTGTTACTAATTGTTAATAAGTATGATTTATAATTATTAAATTAGTCTTTTATAATATACAATGACTTCTATCGAATTAATAATTAATTTCTGGTGCGTTCCGGTACCTAGAATTTTATAAATCAAGCACTGCTGTGCTGTATATAAAAATAGCCAAGAAAATGGAGGAGCTGCTCTGCCGGAGCTACTGAAGTCTTCATTGCGATCGTGGATGCGTCCATAACCGGTTTGGGTCGGGCCGCGTGAATTCGTCGGGCGTAGGTTAAAAGACGCTTGCGCCTGTAGGTCAGGAAGTGGCTTTTCAGGTTACGCGCCTAACGGGAAGTAACATATTTGCGTAAAATATTTCTCTAATGATGCGAGGAAAATGACAGCAAACAGAGAGCGGTCAGTGGTTATATTTCGTCTCAGAGCACTTTGGGAGGGACTTTAGGAGTGACGCGAAAAATTTCTCAGATATCAATTACAACGGTGAACGACGTATTAGAAATGAGTCCTTAATGTAGCCGAGCGGAGATTAAAACATAGCACACTCACCGGCGTACTATAAAAATAACCAAGAACAGTATTCGATTTTTTTTGCCTCTCTGCTGTTTTCAGACTTTAGGACATCAAGCATTTTTGAGCTATTGAATGCTATGAATAATATGGGAAACTTGGTGGTTTTCTGATGTCGTCCACAACGTGTCAACAAGGAGTTGAACTTACAACCTTCCGTTCTGCTGAGCGGTTGTTGCCTGAACCACGTAGATTTACAACAATTCACAAGTCACTATTACATCCAAATATTCAAATGCTGTCTGGTATGTTATGTCCTGATGACTAAACAACAATGTTCATTATATTGTTTCACATTGCATTGATAATAGTAAAGGTTAATTTTAAGCCTGCGCCAACCATTTTCCAGAGAAAAAATGCGTTTATCTCTCCTTGAATTATGAAGACAGCGCTGTAGCACGACTCTTCCGCAAGAATCTGTTTATCAAATTGTAAATATTCTGTGTGAGTAAAGCTCAAACTCAGTTTGTTTCTTGATTACAGCTGACTAGGTATATAGCCGTAATTTGTCTGGGAAGCCTTGTAGCTTTAGCAACAAGGCTCTCATCTTCCGAGACCTCAACCTATATTTTGTTTACCGTGTTAATAAAAAGAATTGATAAGGACAGCTCTCCCTTCATAAAATTATATAATTATAATAATGTTATATCTTGAATCGGCAACCTAAATCCATTTGCCTAAAAAATATCTTATGAAGTGACATTGTCAACTACGCCCTGAAAGAAAGATTATCTTTTTTTTGCGATTAATAATAATCACCCATGATTTCGTATAATTTATTTTGCGATGGTAAGGGGAAGTGCAACCGAAGTGAAATGATTCATATTGTTCTCTGTGAATATAATGGCTTTTGATAGTTCAAAGAAAATCGGTGAAAGTTAAATCAGAACATCTATCACACTTTTCCCCCTTTATCAACAACTTTCACGGTTGTCAACTAATATGATTGCATCCGTCTGAGTTTCAAGAGATTCGAAAAAGAACATCTTTTTACCGTTGGTGGATATTATGAATGGATGCACGAGTAAGTTAGAAGACGGTTTTCTCGGACTACAAATTTCAGTGGGAAAACGTAGAAAAGAAGAGTTGTGGATTACGAGACGCAGTAGCGCGTGATCGGTATAAGGCAGCGAAGCTCAATTAGCGTTTTCGTTTTCTTTCTGTTTACTTTATCTGAATTGTAAAAAGCATCAGGCACAGATATTGTATAGAGTTTTAGCAGCGAACAGAATGACACAAAGCAAAAGTGTCATGCGGAAAAAATACGCTACGAAATAAAAATGTATCCTTCTGGCAACCAGGAACGACTGAACAGCGGAAATGCTTGCGGAACAAGAACGAATGTTTGTAGCTAAACTGACATTTCATCATATTCGACAAAACTTGATCTTATTTAGAGCGTTCCCTGTCCTCGTTTTGGGGGTTGGTTAATCCATGCATGTCATTTCTTTA